AGTACCTGATTCGGTGATGATGGGATCGGGGATACCGTAGGCCGATTGTTGTCCTACATTGCCGCATCCGCCACCACCACATGGCGGTATGTATTGTGTCGGTGGAGCACAAGGTAGACCGCCACATGGATCTGAAATTCATCTAATGTCTCTAAATTTTGAAGAGGCCGTTTTTAAATGCTATATGGCTTCTTCGTAAGTCAATCTATTCTCACAGCACTCTAAAGGAGTGCGGACCCCATTGCGGCACTTGCAAAGAATGCATGAATGAAATGAATGATCAGATGTATTATGACCGTTGAACTAGACAGGCTAGCGACGGATTTTTCAGGACATCAAACGAACACAAGTACGTCTGCTGATCCAGAATCTTCTTGAAACTCGAAACGCTGGGTTTCTTCGCTGATGGAAGCTCGGCTTACCTCGAGACGAGAGGGACCACTGAACCACCGTACTAATGATTTGTGATATACTCGAGTGAAGATGTTGCTTGTACCCATTTATAATTGAAGCTTATGGGCAAGATAAGGTTCCAGAATCTGAACAGTTCTGACCGTGTTCTATACCGCTTTGGAGCGAGTCCTAGCATTCGGCTTGCTTCGGCTTGAACTAGAGTAGGGGTGGTCTGTGAAGGCTCGTGCGGTCTATTGGAATGGCTTCAAATTCAGCCGACATAGAAGCTAAGGCCTTGACTCTCCCAAAGAAAATTGGTACGAATTAGTTGGGGAAACCTTGGCTGCCCGTGGCGAAAACCAACATGGGTTCCGATCCCTGGACCATGCGCGTGAGGTACGCCACTTGGAAATACACTGTTGCTGCTCAGTTGAAATAATACTTGTAAAAAAGAAGTCATCAAAGGGTCATTAGCGCTAGTAGAACTCACTATAAATGGGACGTATTAGCGGTGGGGGAGGCATCATCATCATCATCGGTGGAGGCGGTAGCCGATATGCTCGTATTCCGGAACATCCACCACATCCGGTATTGAACGTCTGCAAAGTGATTATCAATGACATTAATGGAGATAACATGGTAGACCCATTCGCACTATTTTTCATTCAATTCTGAGCGAAAAAGGAGCAGGGCACTCTGATTCGATTGCTGGAAATGGTTTATGTTGTTTTGGAAGGAACAACTGGATGAATCTCGAACCACCAAGCAATTTCAGAGATGATCTGATGGTTCTAAGCTAGAAAAATTTGTGAAATTTCAGAATTCACTTGAACCAACCTGAAGGCATGCGGGTGGACAGAGCTGGGCTGCAGCCAAGGCTACG